CAGGACAAAAGTTCTTTTGGCCTCAGTGGGAGTTGGGTAAAATATTTTTGTAGGGTCTGGACCAAAATGTAATTATTTTATGCTTACAGTAAATGTGATTAAGATCTTTTAATGCTCCAGGATATTGTTACACTCTTTAACTAGATTTGTATGGAATAGCAGTTGTGCTGTGCAAGGGTACTGGCCATTGCAACTTATTCCTCAAAACTGGGAGTCAAGTTTGGGGAAGAATCTGTTACGTAGGCAACAGTAACCTGAACTGATAACTCATTGTTACGGATAGCTTTTTGCAAGACTGGAAAATAATGACTTGCAATAATGTGAGTCAAATCTGCCCTATACAAGAAAGGGAATACTGTAAGTATTTCCACTTATTATGCATATTCAGCACAATTGTAATTCTGAAGAGAATCACTCTCTAGGACAATGTCTCACTGATAATTATGCTTCCAGGACTTAATCTGCACTGAAGGTTTTTCTGGCATAGTAACAGGACTGTGAAAATACGGCATAAACTCTAAATGATATAGTTTTGCCAGAAAACACCTTTAGTTAGGTAATGCCGGGTTTTCCTGTAGAAGAGTCATGTTACAGCTTGAGCTCGTTTGTGAAGGGAAATGGTTTTGAGTGCTAATGATAGAGAAATCTGTTGGATTTGTGGAAAGTATATTTCTTCTTTGGATGTTTGTAGTGTAGTCGAGGCAATTTAGTTATCCACTCTTTTAAATGCAAAATTCCCTCTGTATTTGCTGCAGAAGGAACAGGGGTAAGAGGAGGTTGAGATCAGCATTTTCTGGGAATTGCCAGATTTACCCTTGGAGTCTTAATGTCATTCAGCTCTACTTAGCTGAAAGGTTCCACCTGGGTGATGAAATTTCTAGTGGTTTAGAGCAACCCCAGGAACTCCAGTAGCACTGTCTGTAGCTTCTGCCTTTGAGTTATGTCTGAGGTGAAGGATGTATGGTCAGAGTTAACAATTTCTAGGTGCCAAAATGTTAATTGGGATTTTAATAGCTGGCATAATTTGAAGGAACTGTGTCATAGCTCAGAAGAAAGCTGTCACACCTATCCCCAAGGATTAGGTATCTGCAATCTGTCTTCTGCTTTTTCCAGTGCTTACTGGTGATACCACAAGATGAGCTGCATTTGGTCAAACCAAAAGATTTATCAACCTGAGTATCCTTGTGCGTCTTTTTCACGAGCAGTAGCAGACGTTGAAGGAAGAACATAAGAACAGGGAATTTATAGTACGACCCTCCCTGTATATCCCCATAGATTTGGGGAATGTAAAAATTTTCCAGAGTTAGAGATAACGTGCAGAACATCATGTTTAGTTCTTGGTCTATCCTCCATGCGTTTATAGAATCCTTTCTGAAACTGTTTATATTGTTAGTCTTAACAACAGCTTAGCTTAATATAAGGTAATTCCTTTTCTTAAGTTTTAAGAACAGTGAGGGTCAGTTTTATAAAACTGTGTGTGTGTGTGCATGTGTTCATTTTAATTATTCTAGGCTCTCTGTTAAGGGCAGGGTTCCAGGTTATGGCCTGATCTGATCTGACAGCTGTCTCTGAAAGGGCAGTCTTGCCTCCCCTCCTGTCTCTCCTGGCTTCTGAGATGGCTTTGGCGCTTGTCTTGCGCCTTGGTCAGCCAAATGAAGTCACCAGACTGACAAAAAACTAGGAACTGATGGGAGCATGCAGCCAGGGGGAGGCCAAGGGGGTGGGTGGGAAGAAGTTTGACCTTCTCTTTTGACTGCCACTAACATCCTGTTCAGCTCAGTTGTCCCCTAGAGCGTCTCCCGCTGTCAGTTCCTGATAAATCTAAGCTCTACGCTGTTTTGTGACAGAAGTCTGAAAAGACAGGAGACGTTAAATGCAAACTTATTTTTACTATTGAATCAGTTTCTTTTTAACTTGCAGGTATCCAAGCTAGAAAAAAAAGAAGGAATTTCTCCAGTTGAAGATGTGGACTGATTCGCTGTCTTGTTTAACTGTGGTAATTAATTTGCTAAGCAGCATGTTCAAAACTGGAGCGTACTGTGATGATGAGCAGAGATGACCCAAACAATTGTTGAGATGACCATTCTAAATAGTATTTGTAATCAAGTCCTTTTTTTTTTTTTTTTTTTTTTTTTTGATTGACTCCCTGTTTTGTTCCCAAAATACTTAAACTGTAGTTTGGCTAAGGAATCATTTATTAAGGATTTTCCTCAACTACTTGAGTTAATTGCCTTTAATTGAAAATATTTGGATAAGCCCATCAATCATAAACAAATGCAGGGTAGTCTTTTGTGAAAGTGAATACACATACAAATATTAAGTTTGGTTCTGATAATTTGGATATGATTTTTGAGCAATATTCAGCTGAAAGTATAAAATTTAAACAGTTCTGGCATGTGCTGTGGAGGGGAAAAACTCATTTTACTTTGCAATAAACTTATAATTTTATAATGCTACTTGACTCAGTTCTTATTTTACACATTTTTAATTTATCTGGCTTTGGCTATGTAGACTGGTCCAGTGTGTTAAATGGCCACAAAACATCTAATTCAGCAAAGTACTGGCAGCATGTCTACCTTGAAGCAGATGGGTAATCTCCTTGTTAGCGGGATCCAAATTAGAGTTCAGCTTCTTGTTTTGCATATACTTGCTGTGTAACTTGTGACAATTAACTTCAAAATCTCTGACTTAATTTTCTCAGAGAGGAATAATACCCACTTCATCAGGATGTTCAGGGAGTGTTTGGTCTCCAAGATCCTCAGCTGTATTTTAAGGATTTTTGAATAAAGTTGGCATGGTGTCTTTTCCCTCCTGGCATTTTTGATGAGTAAGGGTAACTCGGTGTACCTGAAATAAGAAATGTCTTCTGGTGCATGGTATCTTGAATAGAGAGGACACAAGTTTGGTATCCATGCCACTGTTCTTATTCCTGTATGCTCTAGTGCTACCTATCCAGGAGCTGTGATCTGTTACCACTGTCCAGGCCATCAGTGAGTGGTTGGACTTGCCCACATAATCTGTTTACTGTTGGAATCGAGCTCGCTGGGTGTAAAACTTCTGGAAATGGAGTGAATATCGCAGAATGAAGTATAAAGGCAGCTTCCTTTCAGCTCAATTAGTGCGTTGGCCACCTTCCACCTACTGTTTGCAAAAAGGTATTTTAACTTCATGACTTCACTGATCTTTTAAATGAGTCCAGTGCTGTGGAACAACAAAAAAGGTACAAGGATAGGCTTGTTCCTTCACTTGAGTCCCTTTTCTGCTAGTTCATTTAATGTTTGGTCATTTCTGTTGCCTTTTTTTTAATTTTATTTGAAAGGTGCGCTTTAACAGGGGAAACAAGAATGCATTTCTGAGGTTCTGGGCAAGCAATGCTATAACCACGACAGCGGGGAGCTTAGACCAAGCGAGACTTTTGTTAAAATGGTTGTACATTGTGCTAATGGAGAATATCTGCTGAAGGGCACGTTCTCCGCATTTGTTTTCTACAATCCAGAAAGACAGAGTTGATTCACTTGGAGATAAAGATGCTGCATTGTTCTTTGTGGGTTTAAACAAATACCGTATAATAAACCCATCACTAGCTTACCTTAGTGGATGTTGCTGGTACAAAGGATGTTTATGTTCGTCTGATGGAAAACTCCAGCTGAGATTCGCCTTCCTTCACCGTCAGTTGGGCACTTCCACTTCCCGTTCCAGCCAGAGGGAGTGGATGAATTTTGAATGGAAGTTCAGGAATCCATTGTGTATTTGAAGGCTTCTTCTTTTTTTTTCTTCCTGAAGTTATTGATTCTCTTTCCTGACAATCAGAAGAGGAAAGAAAGAAACATGTGCGTTGGTTCAAATAAAAAATAATAGGAAAAATAATACAATGTTTACATGTGCTCCCTGTTACTGTGGTTACCCTGAATATTTCAGACACTTAGCGAAAGGACAGTCATGTTTCTTAGCAATGGCACTTACTACATCTGTGCAGACTGCATTTTATTTCTTACCTGCTAGTGCTGAATACAGATTGTACTAGCCCACCCCTACTTTCCTTGTACTGTCCTGAAATTTTCACTGTACCTGTTCCATCTGATGCCTCCAGTCCAACTGTTATCAACAATAACTGCAATTTTACCAGTGCTTTGCTGTCGCTTGAGAATGGGAAATAACTGTAATGTGTAGCTGCTGATGTTCACTTTTTACTAGTGATGACTATTACGATAAAGGTAATGCCATGGAGTTTTCCTTTTTATCTTAAGTTCACCAAAAAGGCTGGATCTGACCCTGACTTATTTAGAAGTCAGTGTGAAACAGTGATTTTTTTTTTGACCCATCAGGCATGCACCTGAAGGCAAAATCTACCCCAAAGCTAATTAAACAGTATAGGATGGACCTACTTTTACTAGTCGGGCTGGAACACCGAAGAGGTGGATTGATAGACTTTTCTGTTTATTGTTATGCTGCCATAGCTCCCAGTATGTAGCAGGAAATACAGTATAGTTGTCAAATTATCCTGACATCTACCCTTTAGAAATTGCACCTTTATGAAATTGAACAGTGAAACCGTGTATGAAGGGGACCATGAGGAAAAGGGGAGAGCAAAGCATCTTTTAACAGCCCAAGTAGCATAAGCTAAGTTTGCAGCGGTTTCTGGGACGCCTAGGTGACTAAATACAAATTAAATACCTTCTGCTAGGGCTGTGAACGATTAGTTAAGAATGTGAAAACAAGCAGGAAGCAATAATTTATAACCTCGCTGTTATTTTCTCAACAAATCCTAAGCCCTGCCCCGCGGCTCCCCCTGAGGCAGCGGCTAGCCTAGAGGTGCGCTCGGCCGCAGATACCGAGCTTACAGCTTCCGTGAGGTAAAAAACCTGCAACTTTTCATGAAGGAATTTTTTTTTTAAAGCGTAAACGCCGCCTGGGCTCTGCTCTCTAAGCTGAGGTGAAGAACCGACATTTTTTACCAGAGACGTACGGTCACGTCTCTCTTCAACGCCCGACTGCTTACACATGCTGGTTCCCGAGGCGGCGAACGTTTCCGGGGCGGGAGGCGGTGCCCCGTTTGCCGCCAGAAGGAGAAGCCTGCCAGGGGCA